TTTTGGTGTTCGCATTTCTAACTGCAAAAATAGACTCTTTGTTTGTTCCCTTCCATCTCCCTTCCTTTCCTTTCCTCAGCTCTTCTTCCCTCCTCCCCGGGCACTTAATTTTTATGGCCGTCATCATTCGAAATAAGACATTTGAAAAAGCGTTTTTTTCTTCTTTAAATTTTTATGGCCATTAACCAAAGCACCTGTTGCTCCTTCGTGACTTGTGACTAAATTCTTAACATTTCATCGAAATCCTAAGAACTGCTTGCGTCTCAGTGAGGACCTTTTGCAAGCTTGTCATTATCCCTGTTCAGAATAAATTTTGAGGAAGATGAACAAGTTTTCTTGCTGACGTAGCAAACTGGAGGATACTTCTATACCGCCAGTGTACTTTACAACCGTTCCACAGATCTGATGGGCATTTATCTTTCTCTTCAACGGTTAAGGAAGAATCACATCATGAATTATCTTTGACCCTAATTGGGTGCTAGTGTGGAAAAAAATTAAAACGAAATTATCTAATTGAAAGGTCCTCTCATGCAACTGAAAGGCTACCATTTGTCCCTTGATCAATTTTACCCAAAAATTTTGATAAATACAATCTTCCCAGAAGATACGCTCATGATCGGAATACGCTCATAGCAGAACCGAAGAAAAGTGCTGGCCTATATAAACTTTTAAAAAACTGTTCGTATCCCGAGAGGTTAAACTGAGGTCATTCTGACTGGTCCTTGTTAATAAAGGAAGCAAGTGCATCTCTGTGCAGGTGTAATATTAATCATACCGATTCTAGCAGCACGAAATCAAGAAAGTCCAATCTCTTCAGGGTGAAAAGAGTTTTCGGACCAGCAAAAATTAATGTATCTGTCCGGAAAAGGCACCTTTGCAGTCGAGGGTTTTTAAAAGTTAATCCTATTTCCGAATGTACCTTTTATTTACTTTATTTTTATCTACTTTCTTCTATTCATGGCTGGCTAACAGCAAAACTGTCAAAAATGGCGAATAGTAGGAGCTACAACGCAAAATGAATTATTTTTGAATTTCTACAGCAAAACAAGGAAGTTACAAACCTGGTCAGCAGCATCCACAGGTGCTCCAGCATCCAGCAGCGATTGCAGACATTCGACGTGTCCACGTGAAGCAGCACAATGCAGTGCTGTTTCATCGTCCTGTAAGAAGTCAACAAATTCTGGTTCTTGTTTTAGTGCGCAACTCATAGATTTAGGATTGCAGAAAGGGCACATACGCCACAGTGAGGAGACAGGAAACTATGGCTTAAGCCATTTCAGGATGAAATATATGACGGATTTGAAAGCAGCTACGAAAAAAAGTGCATAAGCATCTTGGCTTCATGCACTATCATCATAAGCCTCAGCTAGGCATTTATGGAGGGAACGAGTAGAAGCAGAAGCAGCAGCAGCAGTAATGGGGTATAATTTCCGTTCTAACAAAATAATGTACATCCACCCACCTATCCACACAGATAGGCTAAGCAAAAGAAGTGCTGGCCGTCCACCTAGTGTGCCTCCATCGATCGCTTCAACAAGAGCTACTAAAAAAAATTGAAACAAAATCTTTTGAGATTTGAATTTGCCCACTTCCTGGATTTCTGTCGATCACATTCATTCCTCTCTTACCCCCAAGAACAACATAATTAATAAAGTGGGTGAGGCACACATAGTTGGAATGGAATACCACCAAAATCAAGTAAATTCGTTCCAATCCTGCTCCATCACTTCCTTTTTTTACATTTTGAAGGCTAAATCTGACGTCGTTCAAGACATTTCTAGTTTCTAAATGTAAATATCCGTCTGATATTAAATAATAAGTAATTAATCGGCCTGAGGTAACTTAATACTATTTCACGAGGAAATGTCAGGTAACAGAAAAGTAAACTGAACATATTAAAGGTCATAAGCTGTAGTATGCATGAAAAATTAATAATTTAGCACAAAAAGATGCTCTAGTCGAAGAAACTGTACAGTTCTTTTCCTCAAATCTTCATATACACCTGTCACTAACATTCCCAATGCGAAATTCCACTTAGAAAAAGACGAGCTTATTCCTAGCTTAGAAAATTCTCTATTTCGTTAAATGTTTACTGCCTAATTTTCAACAAGAATCAAAGTCAAAACCCTTTCCATATTCACTTTCTGTGAGGAGAGGAGGGACTCGAAAATGTTCCAGGAGTAGCAAATTCCAACAGCGAATACCCGCTGGCAAAGCTGTAGATTATCCAATCTTTTGAGGAAATTTCGGGTGCTTTTTAGGAAAAAAAGCGGTGTAACTTTCTCCCCAATAAATCGCGAACGGCTCTTTATAAGGCAGTACTGTGCTTGATAAGTTTAGATGTCCTTTAGACAGAAAAAGTTAGTTTAATAAACTCTCAATTTAGCGCCACTAATTTTCTGCAAGTTTACCTGACTTTTAAATGATATCATTTCGATGATAATAGAAGACAAGATTTATTACGCCTCTGGAAAATAAATAACAGAAAACCTAGAAACAAAGCAGAATTTAAGAATCACTGAAGTGCAAAATTTCATGTTTGCCAAAAGCGACCAACCATAATCCCCTGCCTCTCTGCCTCGCCCACTTTGTCCTTTTACTTTATTTTGCTGGCAGTGAATATCAGGGAAAAGAAGAGGTGTCAGGAAGGGAATATGAAGCAAGCAGCTCTACGGCACGCTGAGTGGGAGAAAGTTTTCCTCATACAAAATGCATATGTTTGGTAGCTGGCACAGTCGCCAGAAACAGTGTTAATCACAGAAGACTATTAAAATGCCTTTTCGGCTTTTCAAAAAAAAAAGAAATAATTGGCAGCGCACCAAACGCTGGATGCAAAGATGCGTTTTTTCCATAGTTCCCTGCAGGTTTTTGTCGCTAACGGCACTGTTCTTCCGGCAGATGCTCCAAGCTAAAAGAATTGAGAATGGCCACCACGACTATCAGAAAATATTTCCTTAAAATTCCAGCTTTCTAGCTTTTCTGGTTCACGAGTTAGCAACTTACGCGTCAAAAATTTTACAGGCGTGTACATGGGAACCACGTGGGCAAGAGCATCCGATTTGGGGATAAGGGCCCGTATATGCATGTAAATTAAGTTGCCAAAGTTCAGCCTTGTAGCTTTTGTAGGTCTCGGGATGAAAACTCGGTACAGACGAGCACACAAACGCACAGATAACTCCTCGAAAATATGCGTTTTTGTTTCGCACAAATGCAAAAAACGCATAAAACTTTTTCCTGAGATTCTGAGCATTGCAAAAGGTCGCAAAATGCATTAACAGATTTTAGTAATAATATTTTAAGTTATTCATTTGGTTCAAAAAGAGTAAATACGAGCTAATTGCTAAATTGCTTGAAAATGACAAGAACTCTGGAGGTTAAATTTGACTGGAAAGTGGAAGTGACTTTCAAATTAGCCAGGTCAATAAAAAATACTCTTAACCTAAAAAAACTCTTGAAAATCACTGACATATTGCGTGCAAATCCTATCTTTTTTGAGATCAATAAAAACGAGTACAGTGTATTCAAAGTATTCTCAATGAATGGACTAGACTGCACTTAGACGACTGGATAAATTGGGAACAAGTCAGATAAAAACTAAATAGGAAAAATTAGAAATGCCGGGATTGAATGGTAAAAATGAGAATAAAGAACAACTGGGACAAAATGTATGGTGGATTTTAAAAACTCAAACAGAAGTCTACTCTACCACAATATGCAACTGGAAAA